GTAATAGCCATTTTAAATCAGAGAATAATATGGTATACTATACAAGGAATAAGGAGCTCTGGTAGCGTAGTAGTTACGAATCAGGCTGCAAACCTTAAGGCCAGTAGTTCTAAACTACCAGCCGCTCCGTGGGAGAAAGATGAGGCGTTCTGCTCCCGTAAAGATTCACAGCCTCGGAAACCCTGTACAGGGTCGCTATGGGTTGGAACTGACTCTACGGCACTTAACTGTAGTCCAGTGTTAACAACAACATACAAGGAATAATAAAAAGGAATGGCATCACATTCATCATCAAAAAGAACATTTCAAGATATGTCCTGAAATACAATGCTGTCAGTGCCTGTATAATATCCACACATCTACAACAAAGAACAATTAAAAATGTACACACCAACTACCAATACCAAAAGTGAAGAAATTGAAGAACTCTTCAGCCAAAACATGATTGAAATGTGAAAATTGGAAATAAAGAAGGACCAATAGTTGGAAAATATGCCCTTGGTGATAGATAGCATGATAAAATGTTACAAGACCAACAAATTATTCATTGCAAATACTTTTTTCAATAATATAAATGACATTTTTACACATGGACCTCATCAGATGGAATACATAGGAGTCAAACTGACTACATCTATGGAAAAAGACAATGGAGAAGCTCAGTTTCATCAGTCCGAACAAGGCCAGTACTGATTGTGGAATAGACCATCAATTGCTCATATGCAAGTTCGAGTTAAAGCTGAGGATATTTAAAGTAAATGTATGAGAGACAAAGTATGACCTTGAGTATACTCCACCTGAATTTAGAGACCGTTGTAAGAATAAATTTGACTCATTAAAACTAATGACTAAAGACCAGAGACGTTGTGGGATGACCTCAAGAGCATTAAACATAAAGAAAGCAAAAGGACATTAAAAAGTTAGAAAAAAAGAAAATATCAAAATGGATGTCAGAACAGACTCTGACACTTGATCTTGAATATAGAGACGTTAAAGTGAATGGAAGAAATGATTAAATAAAAGAGATTAATAAAAAATTTAAAGACGGCTTGAGAAGACAAAGTATAGTATTATCATGAAATTTGCAAAGACCTGGAGTTAGAAAACTAAAAAGGAAGAGAACGTTCAGCATTTCTCAAGATGAAAGAACTGAAGAAAAAATTCAAGCCTCAATTTGTAAGATTCAAGGATTCAAAGGATTGGTATTGTAGGAAATATCAAAAGAAGATGGAAGAAATACAGAGTCACTGTACCTAAAAGAATTCATAGGTATCCAACCACTTGAAGAGGTGGCCTATAATCAAGAACTGATAGTATTGTAGGAAGAGGTCCAACCAGCACTGAAGACTTTGGTGAAAACTAAGGTTCCAAGAATTTCAGAATATCAATTAAAATGTTTCAAACAACTGATAAAACAGTGGAAGAACTTATTCTTCTAGCCAACAAATTTGGAAAGCAGCTACCTGGCCAACCAATTGTTAGAGATCTGTATTCATACTTAATCTAAAGAATGGTGATCCAGCAGAATGCTAAATTTATAAAGCAATATAATTAGTATTACACAGTAGTGAAATATTGCTGGTGATCATTCAAAAATGGTTGTAGCAGTACTGTGTACTTTGAATTTACTTGATATTATACAATGTCTTCTTCATTAACATCAAATCTTTAGGTTGTTGTTGTTAAATGCTGTCAAGTCAGTTCTGACTCATAGCAACCTTGTCTAGGGTTTCCTAGGAGCACCTGGTAGGTTTGAACTGTCAAACTTGCAGTTCAAACTGACCTTGCAATCCAATTCATTATCCTGCAGTGCCACACCTGGACTCCAAATAATTGGGTGGGACCACGCAAATTGGACATAGAGAACCGTAATACTGGTTTCAACAGTACATTCACAGGGAACTGCTAGACGTTCAAGCCAGATTCAAGAGGACATGACACTAGGGATATCATTGCTGATGCCAGGTGTGTCTTGGCTGAAAGCAGAGAATACCAAAACTATGTGTACTTGTGCTTTAGTGACTACACAGATTTTGACTGTGTGGAACATGACAAACATTTCAAAGAATTGGTATTCTAGAACATTTGATTATGCTCATGAAGAACCTGTACATGGACCAAGAGTCAGTTGTTACAACAGAATAGGGGAACACTGAATGGTTTAAAATCAGGAAAGGTGTGTACCAAGGTTGTATCCTTTCACTCTACTTACTCAGTCTGTATGATGAGCAAATAATCCAAGAAGTCTGATTATATGAAGAAGAACATGGCATCAGGATTGGGGAAAGACTCATTAACTATCTGTGATATGCAGATTATACCACTTTACTTGCTGGAAGTAAAGAGGACTTGAAATACTTACTGATGAAGATCAAAGCCTTCGGTATGGATTGTACCTCAGTGTAAAGAAAACAAAATTCCTCACAATAGGACTCGATGACATCTAACAACAATAATAGTTGTAGTACTGTTGTTGTCATTAGCTGTTTATGAGTTAAAGACTCAATAATAGTTGTAGTATTGTTGTTGTCAGCCCACCCCTGACTCATGGCTATCGCATGTATAATAAAACAAAATACAACCCAATCCTGTATCATCCCTGTAATCAATTTTAGGTAGAATTGCTGTGATTCATTGGCCAAGCCATTATTCTTAGTCAGTTTTAGGAAGACTTCCTAGTTGGGAGGCTTCACTGAAACCCATTGCATGTCATTGCAGTCCTCAAGCTTACACTGACAGGCAGTGCGTGAGGTGAATTGGTCAGGAATTAAAGCTGAATCTCCTGCATGGAGTCTGAGACTTCTACCAATGAGCCACCACTGCCCTCACTTAGGGTACTACCTGCATGTAAGGCTCAAGCAAATCCTAGGCAAATCTAGCCAAGGAACTGTGTATTACATAAGAGTTTCTACTAAGTATTATCTGGAAATGTCCTTGTAATTGAACTGTTTGATAAGTTGGCCTTCATGTTTCTATTCCAATTCTGATCCAGCTCACCCAAGTTTGAATTCTTTAATTCACTTGTTTCCATTTTTTCTACTCTGAATCTTTCTAGTATTTTAAACTGGAAATTCCAAGTAACATTTTTTTTTTTAATTTAATTGTTTCTTACTTCCCTGTCCACTCTTCTCCATTCTAATTCCTTCCATGTTCCCCAAAACCTGTGCAACCTGATTCACCCATTGTTCAAAATCTGACAAGTGGTTCTCAGCCCTGGTTTTCCTGGGGACTTTAAAACATAACTATCTAAGCTTGAGCCTCACTCCAGACTAACTGAATTTGAATCAGGAATTAGTGATTTCAGTGCATCTGGGATTGAGAATTGTTGTTATGTGCTGTGGAGTCAATTCCAACTCATAGCAATCCTGTACAGGATTTCTGAGGCTGTAAATCTTTATGGGAGAAGAAAGCCTCATCTTTCTCCTGTGGAACACCTGGTAGTTTTGAACTGCTGAAAGTGAGGTTCGTAGCCCAATTTGTAACCACTATGCTACCAGAGCTCCTTGGGATTGAGCATACTGAGTACTAAAAGTATATGTGAATTAAATTCCTCCCTTACCTTTGCAGGAGCCCTGGTGATACAGTGGGTTAAGCATTGGCTCAAGGCCACCAGCCACTCCATAGGAGAAAGATAATACAGTCTGCTCCTATAAAGATTTCCAATCTTAGAAACCCTAAGGAGCAATTTTACACTGTCCTATAAGGCCACTATGAGTTGGAATTGACTTGATGACAGTGGGTTTGCTTTGGGGTTCTTCCATAGACCCAAGAACCAAGGACTCCAAATTAATTCTAATCTTCAAAATCAAATTAACACTTACATCCTCCTCTTTGTAATTCATCTTCTTTGAAGGCAGCACAAACACACCGATAAGGGCCAGGGTCAGGGTCAGGGCCATGACCAGGATTAAGTAAGTATGCCCATCCAAAACAAAACAAAAAGCCAGTTTTGGTGGAGTCCAATCTCTGCTGACCCTATGTGTGCAAAGTAGAACTGAGCTCCTCAGGGATTTCAAGTCTGTGACCCTTCAGAAATAGACCTATCTTCCCAGGTACTGCTGGGTGAGTTTCAACAACTTATCTTTTCATTGATTGTTGTTGGTAAGTGCTGTCTAGTGGATTCCAACCCATAGCGACTCTGCACGGGGTTTCTGAGGCTGTAAATCTTTAAGGGAGCAGAAAGTCTCATCTTTCTCCCACAGGACAGCTGGTAGTTTTGAACTGCTGACCTTAAGGTTCACTGCCTGATTCATAACCACCACGCTACCAGAGCTCCTTTGATAGTCAAGGGTTTAATGGTTTGTGCCACCCAGAGTAGACAATATTTAAGGAGGCACTTATTCTCAGGTGCCAACCTCGTGCTTACCAGACTCTAAGAGTGAGTGCCTCCTTAAATTGTGTACCTCTTTACCTCATCCTAGCCTGACTCTGAGGAAAACTAATATTTCACCTTTTCTAAAGGAATTCTGGGAAGAGAGGGCGGCTATAATCATCTAATTTAGGTGGAGATTTAATCAGCAAACTGATATAACCTCCTCAGTACATCTTAGCATTAAGCTTTAAGAATTTCCTAATGAAAAATAAGGAGTCTTGTTGTGGTGCTATAGGTTAATGCACTGGACTGCAAGGTCTGTTTGAACTGTAAGGTCGATGGTTCAAGCTCACCAGCCACTCCTCAGAAACCCTTTACAGGGTCGCTATGAGTTGGACCCAACTCCATGGCACTTACCAACAACACCAACAATGAGAAATATGACCCACCTCAGATAATCAGGGTATGGAGAGTTAAGAAGAGGGAAGTTATAGTCAGAAAAGCAGCAGGTTTCGAGTCATGTTAGGAGAGGATGACAACAATTGAAAATCAAGTGAATTTTTCTAGTGAATCTTTTTTTCATCATCTCTATTTTATCAAAACATTAAAAGAATTAATAGTGTGAAATAAAAATCCAGAACTGGCACACAGTTCAGTACTCAATAACTAGTAACTATTTTCTCTACAGGAAAAGAATGGAACTCAGAAAACGATTATCACTCAAGATCACATCATCAACAATTTCACATTTTTTAAAGACAGAATCAAGTTAGGTACAGACTATGAACTCTGCCTCTCTCCAGTACAAATTGGCGATGATGATTGGAAATTCTCTTGCCATGCTACAGTCAGGCCTGGGAACATCTTGAGGAGCACCACCACCGTCAAAGTTTTTGGTAAGGCTCTGAGTTCTGTGTACTCCTGCCGTCTTCCTGTGCTTGCTCTCCCCTAGAGAGGAGGGTCTCTGATACACTGGAGAGTGGTCACCAAGGGGCTGTTCTAGGCACTTGTCATTCTTATTTGGGTGGGAACAATGGTAGCAGGTTACAGAATTATAATTCTGGTGATAGAATAAGACAACAAACAAAGCCATGTTGTTGTTGTTAAGTTGTTAAGTGCAGTCCAGTCAGTCCTGACCCATAGTGACCCTGCATAGGGTTTCTGAGGCTGTAAATCTTTACGGGAGCAGAAAGCCTCATCTTTCTCTCACGGAGAGGCTGGTAGTTTCAAACTGCTGACCTTAAGGTTCACAGTCCGATTCGTAACCACTACGTTACCACAGCTCCTTTGTTGTTAGTTGCCATCAAATTGACTAATTCATGCAACTCATGTGTTACAGAGTAAAAATGCTTTATGTGTTTTGGTTTTGGGGTGTGTTTTCTTTTTACTGTAATCTTTACAGAAGCAGATAGACAATACTTTTGTTCTGAGATCCCTCTGGGTGGGTTCAAACCACCAAATTTTAGGTCAGCAGCTGATTGCATTCTATTTTTGCCACCTAAGTACTCACACAAGGATATTGATGTTTCATACTTATGATGACCACTACCTTATTTGAAACTTGAATATTCCTTAAAAATATTAGAAATTTCTAATTATAATAGGCAAAATCTAATAGAATGGTTTTATTTGGGTCAACTTAACAGCAAATAACAACAAAAATAACAACAACAGGTTGTTTGTGGAGCAACACAGAATAGGTACAGTGTGAGAAACAGAAGATAGCAGATGGCCTCTTCTAGTAGTCTCCCTTCTCCCTTACCCAAGGGTCCAGCTGGGGAAAGCGACTGTTCAGCACCTCCAGCAAGGAGTCTATGGCAACAGAATAGACAGTCTTCTAACCTGACTTCCCCAGGAATGTGGATATAGTCTGTGTTAGTCCATGTGGCCTCACTCAAAATGCAGAGACACTGTAGGCTTCAAATTTGGGGAAAACCTAAAAATTCTATTTTGTTCAGTAATGCAAGAAAATATTAATGAACAGAAGCCTTTAGCTTTGGATGTTTTCCCATCTTTGTGATCAAGAAGTTTGTTATTTTAAAAGTTCTTTTTAAAGGAAGGCAAAGAGAAAAGCAGCAATATGGATAAGTAATGAACTGTTTTTTAAAATGGGGTAAACAAAGAGAAAATAAATCCACAAAGCCTAAAGGTATGGGTGGCTAGCTTTTTCCTCAGTCCTCTGAATAACAGAAACAGTGGGCAATCCTTGTTTTACTTTGTTTTTAGAATCATATTTTATTATAATTGGAGGTCATACAATTTAGTATTTTGAAGGAAATCTAAACCCTCTATAGCTTGTAAAGATGGGAGTAACTATAGCAAAGTTTTATTTATTTGAAATCTCACTTGTTTATAGCGAGTTTACTGCTTCAAGTTCAGACTGGCAAACTGTTTCAAAAGACCAGGCACCCAGACCGAACCCAGTGTCACTGAGTCAATTCTGACTCATAGCAACCCTATATAGGGTTTACAGGCACAGAAAGCCTCATCTTTCTCTCTTAGAGGCCTTGGTGTTTGAACACCCAGCTTTACAGTTGACAGTCCAGTGCTTATCTTAAAGCTATAGGGCATAGTTCTATTCTGAAACACAAGGAGTCACCATAATTCAGAATTGACTGTACAATTTATGTCAGAATGATTCTTGTTAGTTGTCCTTGAACTGGCCTCCAACTTGAGTTGGTGATCCCATACACAATGGGATAGAATCATTATAATCTGTGGGGTTTTCATTGGCTGATTTTCCTAAGTAGGTTGCCAGCCTTCTTTTAGTGTTTTTTTTTTATTCTACAAGTTAAGCAGAAACCTATTCAGCCTCACAGCAGCACACAAGCTAAAACTGACACATAGATAGAGGATGGCTATACTTGAGGAATCAAACGCAGTCACTGACAGCATCTTTTCAGGGGTCTTAATATTTGTTCCATAATTGCATAGAAGATACTGTCTTCTATATTCAAGAATATACTAGAAGCCACTTTGTTGTTGTTGTTGTTAAGCGCTACCGAGTTGGTTCCTACCCAGAGCGACCATCTAGAAGGTTTCCAAGGAGCGACTGGTGAGCTTGAACCACCAACTTTGTAGTTCAAACCGACTGTGCAGTCTAGCGCATTAACCCACAGCACCATACCAGGACTCCACTTTAGTTCAACATAAATTACTGTCTACTGTGTGCTGGGCATTGTTTGGTGCTGTAGATGGAGAGATGAATAAAATAGTCTAGCTCTGAGGCACTTACAATCTAGGAAGAAGACAACAAAAACATTGAAACATTCTATGATATTTTCTACTGTCGGGGTCCAGCCTCGACAAGAAGTGTGGGTGTCACGAAGAAGGGAGATCTGGCGGTGAAAGAGAGAGAAAGAGAGAGACAAAATATATACAAAAAAGACAGACACATAGATATGATGCAACTGGCAGGTAGGCAGATCTGCAAACATATTGCCTAGCATTGCACAGCATTGCATGCAGAACTCACTCTACATCAGTCTTTTATTCTCTTTTTTAGGGAGGGATTTGTTACAAAGGAAGGATGTAATTC